GGGAACCTAGGGGTCCAAGAATGCTGAGATAATTCTGCCATCTCTGAGCTTCCAGAAAAAATGAACTTTCAGTTCCCACCAACCTAAGTCTGTGGCTTTTGTTTTCAAGTCAAAGAAATAGTTTCCTTTGATATATTTTGCTTCTAGTTGTTGGGCCCAAAGGCTGTCCCTAAGGTTCAAGAGCCTCCAGATTGATTTCAGCATTAGAGCTTTATTCGTTAACGAGAATCTCCTTATCCCCAGCCCTCCTAGGGTTTTGGGAGAACAGATTGTAGACCATTTCATGTTAAAGTTTGTAGTTGTGTTGGATCTTCCTGCCCACCAAAATTTTTTTGTAACCTATCTAGTTTTCTACATAAACCCATGGGAAGGAAGCTTGTTTGCATGATGTACAAAGGGATACTTTGGGTAACTGTTTTGATGAGAGTAGTACGACCAGCTTGAGAGAGGGTTTTTGCTTGCCAATGTTCTATCTTCTGGGAGATACAGTTAGCCAGATATTTGTTGGTATTACTCAACCTATTTACTCTGCTCAGTAGTTTTTGGTGGGTTTTGTGCATATTTCTACTGAACATGACCCCTGATTTTGCAAAGTTTATGTGCTGCCCCGAGATTTGCTCAAATAACCTAAGTGTGGTTTTGATCTGATGGAAGGATTCAGGGTCAACCTTGTAGAATAAAAAGTAGTCATCTGCAAATAAAAGGTTGGTGATGGGCTCTGAGTTTCTTGCAAGTTTTATTCCCTAGAGTTTTGAGAGACTTTCTTCTCTATTTAGGAGGACTGAGAGGGTTTGCATTCCAGTAATGAAGAGATAAGGAAAGAGGGGGTCTCCCTGTCTTAAGCCTCTTTTGGTGGTGAACAAATCAAAAGAGGACCCATTAAGCTTGATTGAGAATGATGGGGTGGAAATACATTGCTAGATTAACTCGCACCAAGCTGCTAGAAAGCCCATTTTTGTTATAGATTTTTTGAGAAACCTCCAACCCGTTTTGTTAAAGGCTTTGGCCATGTCAATTTTCAAAGCTGCCCATTTCCCTTTTCCTTTTTGAGTTTTGAGCTTGTGGATGATCTCTTTTGCTAAGATAATATTATTTATAATGCTCATTCCTTTGATAAAGGCTGCTGATTTTGTTGAACTAGGTCTAGGAGTAAAGGCTTCATTCTATTGGCCAGGACCTTTGCTAGGATTTTGTAAAGCACATTACTTAGCCTAATTGGCCTAAAGTGTTCTGCTTTCTCTGCACCCCTCTTCTTTAGTATGAAGACAAGATTGGTATGGTTCAATTGTTTTAGCAATTTTTTGGAATGAAATAAGCTTTGGATCATACTTGTGATTTCATCACCAACTAAATTCCAGTAGTGCTGAATGAAGAAAGCTAAATAATCACCCGGGCCTGGAGCTTTGTGGAGGTATATTTGGAACAAGGTTAGCTGAACTTCTTCTTTTTGAGGGGGTGTTAGAAGTTTTAGACTCTCTTCACCAGGGATTTGTTTGAATTGAAGTCCTTCTAAGAGGGTTGGTCAAATTTTCTTCTTGCCTAGAGCTATTTAGGAAATGGTTTTTGAAGAGGTTTGCTATAACACTTGAACCAGTGACCCAACTATCTTGGTTTTCTTTCAGACATTCAATTGCAACCCATCTCCTTCTGAATTTTGTTTTATGGTGGAAGAATTTTGTATTTCTATCCCCTTTTGAGAGCCATAATTCTCGGGATTTCAGTCTCCATAGTTGTTCCTTAACAAGGAGCCACTTATTGTACTAGGCTTACAGATCAACTAGCCTACTATTTTATTCTTGGTTGGACTGGGCTAACATAATTTCTTGCTCTAGTTGTATTAGTTTTTTGTGAATATCCCCAAATGTGGTATTATTCCAAAATTTGAGGTGGTTCTTTAGGACCTTGAGCCTAGTTGTAATTGAGTGGGCTCTAGAGCCTACAACTGTTTGGTTCCAACTTTTTGTAACAATACTATCACATTCCTTGTGATTTACCCACATTGGTAAGAAATAAAACTATTTTTTCCCTTCAGATGGGTCTGGCTTGGTATTAAGCAAAATTGGGGAGTGATCCGAGTTTATAGCTGGTAAGATTGATAATTTGGTGTCTGATGACCAAATTAGCCATTCCACACTAGCAAGACCTCTGTCTAATCTTTCTCTCACCCCCTTTTTTTCGTTGCCATTTATCTGTCCAAGTGAAGTAGGGTCCTAAGTAACCTAAGTCCTAGAGGGAAAAATGGTCAATCAGTTGCCGGAGGTACTGAGATGTTCTAGTTCTGTTACTTGGTCCCACATAGTCCTTTGAATAGACTGTCATTTAAATCTGCTAAAAGTAGCCAAGGAGTTCCTCTTAGGTATGATTTTGAGGTTGTGAACTATTGCCAAAAAGTAGCTCTATCCCCATGGCTAGGTTTTCCATATAGGAGCACTATGTTCCAGGGGGCAGTTGAGTCAGTGCTACTCCCGGTTAATTCTATGAACCTCTGAGAGCTATCTCTTACAGATATAATTAGGTTGTCTTTCCAGGCGCATAACAATCCCCCACTCAGACTCACTGATCCTACAGTCTTGAAGTTATAGTACCCTAGGGATTTCGAACACTTTATGGCTTCTTCATCTGACATTTTTGTTTCTCATAGAAACAGAATGTCTGGGTTTTGTAACTTGCACCATCTCCTAATAATTCTTTGAACTTCTTTACTTTTCCCTCCCCTTACATTCCAATCCAAAATTCTCATAGTGTTTGCAATTGTGCTAAGATAATAAGTTAAGTAGTCTAAATCCAAATAATTCGAAGTAGAGAAATGTAGGTTTATTTGAATGAATATGATGTATAATAGAGAATATAAATAGGTGAATACCTAAATTACAAGAGTTGTTAAGGATGCAACCCGCTGCTACTGCTCTGTTCAAAGACTATCCTAGGCTTCTATCCATGATGAGTCCTCCAGACATGTAAGTTTGTCAAGGCTCCTTTTAGAGTGATCCAGGCCTTGATCATGCAAGATCATTGGGCCCAAATTGACTGGCAGGAGATCTGGGGTGCTAGAGCTGGTGATTGAGCTTGTCTCAAGGTGGTTACTGCTCGGAGTTCTCATTTCTTGAATCCATTTCCTTAGAGATGCTAAAGATTGACGATCAATGAACTCCTCAAGAGTTGGGCCGAAATTTGGGGGGATGTCTGACATAGCTTGGGAATCTAATTGTCTTTTAGTGAGGATTGGTATCTGAAGGGTCTCTCTCTTCTTCTCGAGCTAGTGGTGGAATTAATTATGCTAAATCCGCCGGTTGCAGTCGAGTATATTTTAAACTGATTCTCCTCGGAGTTTAGGCCCAGATTAATCATTTCTTGCTTTTGCTTGTCCTTGGGATTCGGGTCCGAATAAGAGAGTCTCGCTTTAGCAGTTTCCGAGTTGCACTATTGCTGGAATCAACTTGCTTCCGCTTTGATGACTCGCTTGACTCACTATGGCTCGTTTTCACTACCCATTCTTTGCCTTCGCCATTGTTTCTCACCAGTGGCTGGAAACCCTCCGTTATTCTCTACCGCTTCTCAACTAGTTCATCCTCCGAATCTTCTTCTAAGCTCTAGTCTCCTCTTATGATCTGGAGCTGCTTGCATGCATTTGCATTTTCCTGAGACTTTCTCTGGATCGGAAAAATAAGTGGCTTCTCTGGCTTACGCTCTACCCACAGCCATTCACTCGGCTCATCTAGCTTTCTTTCTTCTAACTCTAACATGATTTCGTTGAGTGGTGTTGCTTTAGGAATAAGTTTACATTTCTTCCCGTTGTGACCTACTAACCCGCAATAGATACACAATTTTGTGAGATTTTCAAAAGCAAATCTGACCCAGATTGGGATGTTGTTATTGTTCAAGAAAAAACCCCTTGATAATGGCTTCTTGAGGTAAATCTCTATATGAAGCCTTACCATGCATCCACGAGTAGGCTTCCCCAGTTCAATCTCTATGTTGTCATATAACACTCTTCTTGCTGCAGAGGCAAAAACCTTGCAGTTGTAGTCGGATATGTAGTTTCTTGGGATGTTATACATCTATAGCCAAACTTTTTGATACCACAACTTTATCTTCTCTCCAACAGTTCCATCTTGCTAGACTACTACCAGCATCCAGTTCCCCCAAATGAACCATTAAGGACTTTCAAGAGATCATCTTCCTGTTCGAAAATGAAGAACCAGCCATCACTATCATCGTGGCCAACCTCTACGTGGTGCAACGGGTTCTATAAATTCTTAATAAATGCATAGACATTCTCCATAGATACTTTAATGCGGGGGAAGATTCTACCTCTTAATGTTTTCCTGACCACCTCAGTTTCTTCTCGTACCGGCTCCACATTTAGTTGCCTCTTAATATTTTCCTGACCACAATAGTTACATACTTTTCCAACTCCAAACCCAAATCTGTGATCTGTTGGGTCGTAACCGGAGAATTATGTTTTTCCATAGTTTTCCCCCGAGTCCTAAGAATCTTCAGCCATTTTTTTAAAGGGACGCATCTTTGGACTTGCAACAGTAGAAAGCCGCGCTGGTTAGTGGGAAGGCATTAAAGATTGTAAGGCAGAGCACTTGAGTGCGGGGAGTGTTCCATTTTCAAAGTATCTGTTCTAACGTCAGGTTGTTTCAACCAATTTTGTTGAGTGATTGGGTTTGAGTTGATAAACTTGGGCCTGAGATCGGGTTGGATCAAGCCCGACCCTGAGGTTTGCACCTTCAGGGTTGGGATTGAATTGACTTTCAACCCATCCCAATTCGCAAACCACGCGAGTTGGCCCCCTACTTGAACTTGAAGGAATCAAAACACCGCATGATTGGAATCTTTAGTCTTGGACGGTAGACCTTGTGCATCCAGGCAGAAGATTCCAATCTATCGCTTGTGCATTCACCTAATCCAACCCATTCAACAGTTGGACCCAAAAATCTGTTATACTGGATCAATGTTTGCAAATATTCCTTCCTAACTATCATCTTGTCCACTCTGGAAAACGCCTTGGCCAGTTGGCCAGTCGCGTTTCGAGCGTTTTCCGAAGGAAGTTTCTCTTCAATCCATTCTCTATTCTATTCACAGCTTTTCAGTTTGGCCATTAAAGCAAGCACACGCGCTACGACTCCAATCCTGCACAACCTACACAAATTCGTCTCCATCCCTCAACAAGTTTCGAGGTTTCTTTCTGGTATGTTTTCTGCAACCCATTTTATACTTGAGATCTTGGTTTCAGTAGAATCATTTATAGTTGTGGTTTAGGTTCGATGAGTTTCGATTGTTATAACTGTTTCTCCCGTTCAGAATTTCTGCAAATTGAGCTGGCTTTCGTGTTAATTCGTAGGATCGAGTTGTAAAGCTGTCGATTGCAGTACTGGGTTTTCAGTGAAGTTGAGTTAGGACTTGGGAGATAAGGTTTTGGCTTTTGCTGAAAAAAAGCAAAAAAATGGAATACTAATTTAAGAGTTCAGAAGATTTATGTAACTGGTCTCAGTTTGAATTTTTGATCCTATTGAACCAAATCCGAGACAGATATTTTAACCAATTGTTAGGGGTAAAGGGCACAATTCAGCCCTGGTGATCAGTCGTCAACACAGTATAGAGCGCCTATCGTGGCAGATTCTGTTTCTATGATCTCCTTCTATGCCATTACAGGATTCTATATCCCCTTGAGTAAAACTGGTTGAATCGTTTTCGGACTTCAAGGCAGGATCCTAACGCCCTAGAGCAAAACTGTCAATACACTTCGGAAATTCATGACAATGAGAACCTCCATACTGCAGTAGCAGGATATTCTGTCTTACTTCTGCTCTCAGCTCTCTGAATTAGGTCTTTAATTCTTGCTTCAAGGTCTTCTTTTGACTTATTAACTGGCTCGTACCTAGTAGAATTTAGTCAAGACCAATACATGCTGTCAGCTATTCTATATTATGGTTGTTTTTTCATTTATTTTCCAAATCATGATATGCGAGTCACGTACTTTCATGAAACAGAACTTCCTTATTTTCACAAGCTTGTTTTATGAAATTTGAAATGGAAATAGAAAATACATACATACATATTATTCGCAAGCTTGTTTTCTCTCATATAAAGCTTAATGTTATGACCATGAAGTGGGACAATGCACTGATGACTTTAGGTATGCCTATCAGTTTGCTTTTTATTGGGAATGGCTGGTCATGTTGAACAAATACATACATACATACAGATTATTTGCAAGCTTGTTGTCTCTCCTATGACATATAAAGCTTAATGCTATAACCATGAAGTGGGACAATACACTGATGACTTTAGATATGAACCATAGGCAGAAATCAGTTTGCTTTTGATTGGGAATGGCTGGTCATGTTGAACAAATACATACATACATACATACATACATACAGATTATTTGCAAGCTTGTTGTCTCTCCTATGACATATAAAGCTTAATGCTATGACCATGAAGTGGGACAATGCACTGATGACTTTAGATATGAACCATAGGCAGAAATCAGTTTGCTTTTGATTGGGAATGGTTGGTCATGTTGAACAAATAAGTTCTGATTCAAGAGTTGAGTAATCTCATTACAAATCATTGACCACATTTTTCTAGAAGAATGAAAATCGTTATATCATACTCCTTTTTGAGCGGAAGGAGAATAAACTAAGATCCATAAATCAAGGTTTTGAATCTTGGTTTTCAGATAGGTTTCGACCTCCTCCCAAACAAAATATTTTTTAAAAAGTTCACTGAAAATTCGACATTTTGATCAAATCTCTTGAAATCCTCAACTTCACCTGTTTTTCATTTCAGTGGGAGTTCAAATTGAAACAGATTATCAAAATTCCAAGAAAAATTGGTTAAATTTAAAGTCCTGAAAGAAATTGTCTCGTTAGTGAGATTTCTGATGAAATAAACAACCTTAATTTAAGAAATTACCACCATGTTGAGCTAGAAAGAAGGGTGACTGACTTCAGTTAGGGACAATGAGTGACKTAGTTCATTATTATATAGTTGTTATTTCTCTGGAATTTTTCCTCTGGTTTCTACATGTATACCAATATCCCATTTACAATGTATGTTACCATGTTCAATAGTCCTAAAATTCCAATTGAATATCTATTGGCTGTTCACAATTATCAAGGCTATTTCCTTCAGCCCTGTATTGAAGCATGTTTTTGTGCCATACAGGTATGAAAGTTGATTTGTAAGCTTTCAACTTTTGACACAACCAACAACATCCAAAGAGCTGATGTTGAAGAAACCATGCAGCTATACCACCATCCTTACTCCTTGGACAGCCAAAAGGTAAGGCTTGCTTTGGAAGAGTATGGCATTGATTACACATCACACCATGTCAATCCTCTCACAGGAAAGAACATGGAATCTTCATTCTTTCGCATGAATCCAAGTGCAAAGTTGCCTGTTTTCCAGAATGGATCTCAGATAATCTTCAACACCATTGACATAATCCAGTAAGTTTCATCTGCATTAAGCCTTCGCATTTGTTTTCCTATTATAGAAGCCAAGTGACATTATATTTACAGGTATATAGAAAGAGTTGCACTAGTCTCTTCAAGCATCAATAATATTACCACTGGTAGCAGAGAAGTTGAAGAATGGATGCATAAGATACAAGAATGGAACCCCAAAATATTCACACTCTCACACATACCTGAAAAGTACCATCTGTTTGTTTCAAAATTCATAAGGCGGGTTGTGATTGCTCGAATGGCTGAGTCTCCAGACTTGGCAAGTGTCTATCACCTCAAGCTGAGAGATGCATATGATATGGAAGACAAATTGAAGGACTCCAACATTTTGAAACAAAGTGAGGAACAGCTAGTCAGACTTCTTGATGAAGTGGAGATGCAACTAAGCAACTCAGCATATCTGGCAGGAGAACAGTTTACCCTGGCAGATGCCATGCTCATTCCCATTCTGGCCCACATAATGCTTTTGAATTTGGAAGATGAGTACATTGGTAGTAGGCCCAAAATTTCTGAATATTGGAATAAAGTCAAGCATAGACCCAGTTATAGAAAGGTAATTGGGAGGTATTTCGTGGGCTGGAGAAAATACAGGACTCTGTCAAAAACCTTCTGCTTTATTTGCATTCGAACTGTGCTTAGGAGATACTGATAAGAGCTATAGTACTGGAAGACATAATAAAAGGATGGGATGTTCTCATGTAGAAATAATCTGTATTCTTTGGTGCATATTATTTCAAGGGGTGATTATATCATAACTTTTGATGGATTTTGGGGGAGTCAACAATTACTTTCTCTTTTTCTGTATTAGATTTGGTTTCATCTAATGTTTTTTTCCCACAACATGCTCCGTTTCTTCCAGGTGGAAAAAGAAACAAAGGAATGCCTTATAGATTAGCAAATGCTTATTCATGGTAAATAGCCACTTTTCATAAAGTTCTTGAATGTTGTAATATTGTTGATTTTGTTTTTTCTTCAATAGCAACTTCTGTTTGTAATGGTTCAAGCTTGTTTGTGATTGGATTGTCTCATTATCCCCACCTCAAGAATCATGACATTGAAGGGTTGCCATGTAAGTACAACCTTCATTGCATATGCATGCATTATGTAAGATTTAAGATTCCATTGTTGTTCTGTGCTGCAAATCCATCAATTTTTCTAAGAGTTTATCAGGGATTGTTCTCAATTGACTCCAAAAGTCATCCAGGGATTGATATTTTTGGATAAAATTGGGACTGAACCTAAACTGTTTATGCGGGCTCAACTTTATTCAATTAAGCTTAAGCCCTATCTCAACTATTGGCTTGAATCCTGTTCCGCCATTCCACTCTGTTCAGTGCCATATCTATTGTCAAGCAATGGGTCCTCAACTACTTCAACGATGTCCTTTTTAGCTGAAGTTGTAATGTAGAGACCATTTATGGTAAATCCTTAAGACTATAAATTAACAGCTGAGAAGTGAAGATCTAAGAAAATGATGGTGGAAAATTTTACCTAGAAATAGTGGCAAACTCGGTTTTGACTGTATAGCTTGATACCAGCTTGACTGTAAGAAGTGCATATAATGCATGGTTAAGTATGACTGAAAGCTGAACCAAGTGAGAACTAGCATCACGCTTTAAGTATATTTTTCTTCCCTTGTTATCCTCTGTTCATTCAATTATCTAGTTTTTAAACCTTTTCCAGTTTCATTTAGACGCAACAGAACAATTTCGATCACACATTTATTTTGGGTAAACTACTCATGGTTGTATATCAGTATATGCTTGCTCTAATTGGCCAAACAAAAAAACCTTAAAAATAGGAATGCAGAAATTTTAAAACTTCAAAAGGGTTGAAAATGGGATTCCATTTCTTTTCCACTCCCTTTATTTTGAGACAAATGGAACCCAGGAGAACTGGCCTGAGAGAAATGGAAAGAGTAGAATACAGTAGGTAAGCAATTGGATTCTTTTGTCAATAAGAAGACTGAAAAGAACACTACTTTTAAGGAAAAACGTGAAGAGCTGTTCCAACGCTTAAAAGCAAACAAACAACCACAAAAATAACGCTACTTGAAATGAGAGCCATTACCTCTTCTTTTGTTCTTCGTAAAACATAACTCTTCTAGCTTTCCATGCCTTGAAATTCATGGAAGCTAAAAAGTGGACAGCTCTCACAGATGGATATTAAACCTAGAATGAGAAGTTTAGTCCAGCAAGAAAAAATAAATAAAAATAGAAGAAGGGAAGAGAGAAGGGAGAAAGGAAAGAAGAAGACAAAAAGAAGAAAAGTAGTTCTATTCAAAAGTATGTAATTGGCGGCACCTAAGTTGGTATTTATATTTAGGGTGACAACTTATAACAAATAAAGAAGGAAGTTCTAAAAATAAATTTGACTTACCAGTCATATGGTTTGATGTTCTTGAGTCAATGATCCAAGGGAATTATGGAACTATGAAATGCAAAAGTACTTTTACCTAATGTAAAAGCAAATGAAGTGGAAGGGGTAGCCAACCTATCTATTTGTCTAAAAGTCCTACCATACAGTTCCAAATGATCTCTAAAGGAGTTAATGATTAATGATGTATTCCTTAGGGTTAGAACCAATTGGATGCTCTTGGTAAGTACTAGTGGTGAGATTATTTGATTGAGAATCTTGTACAGCTAGATTTATAGAGGTAAATTTTTTCTGAGGAGGCTTCTTTGATGTGTCTTGATTCTTGTTTGCCCATTTAGGTTTCCCCACTAACTCCTAACAGGTCTCTCGAATGTGTTTAGGYTTTTGGTAGTGTGTGCATCACAACTTGTCATTGTCATAATTTTTCCTTGATTCTCCTTTTTTTTATTCGAGTGTTACCCCCTCTTGCAGTTAAAGCAATTGGTTGCTCCCCCTCAAAAACATTCATTAGATTTTTTATGTTCTCTTCAAATTGAACTAAGGCGTATACCTCATTAACTGAAGGAAGTTCTCTACTTCCCAAGATTTGCACCTGAAATGGCTCATAAATGGGATTCAAACCCAACAAGAAATCAAACACTCATTGTTGGGAGACAAGTTTTTTGTATGCTTTAGCATCCTCATCATTCTTCCACTCAATAGTCTAATAATAGTCYAGTTCTAGCTGAATAATATGCAGATAGGCTACGATCACCTTGCTTACAAGTAGATGATTCTACCTAGAGTTAGTAAATCTTGGCAAAATGGCTCTATTCAAAGTAGGTTGCCTTGGCTTGTTCCTAAATCTCACAAGCTGTATCGGCCCATCTTTACATGCGGCAATAGGGAACCTAAAAGCCATGACATAATCATACTGTTTTCTTAGTCCCACCTATCATGTTCAGTTGTACCAAATTTTGGTTCTTTAATCTTTTCATTTATGTAACTAGCTTTCCCTTAGTTGTGATATAAAGTTTAATGCCTTTAGACCTTTCCAGATAATTCAAGCCATCAAAGGGGGTAATAGACAGAAAATTCATGTTGTCCACTCCCCCCCCCCATTAAGGTTTCCTTAAGGTTGTTGAATCCTCAGTAGTTATTTTGACCCAATGTTTTTTGTTGATTTTCCAAGAAAAAGACTAAGAAAGAAGTTCTATACTTCTACGACACTGTTATTGAAACAAATAGAAGGCTCACAAACCATCCAAACAGATAGCAACGCACTAAACAAGGTGGACAACAATACCTATAAAAAAGGGCTCCAAAAAATCCTAGCCGGACTGTAGGCCAAAAAACCCTAGCCAAAAGCACTTTAGCTTATATAGAAAAGGAGACAACCAGATCCTACAACCCCAAATTATGACATTCACAACAATCACACACTTAAATGTGAATGTAATAGTACATACCTAGAGTACAATAGTGATTCCACAACCCACAGTCCATAAAAAATAGGTGCAAACCCTAGAAATACTACTCACTACATTCGGCTGGCAGCACGATCACCACAAAGCCTCTTCTTGGTACAATGACCAAGAGAGAAAAAGAAAAAACAAGAAGACTGAAAGGCTAGGTCAGTCTGAAGGAGTTTTCTTTTTCTCTTCCAATCAAAAATAGAGTTCCAGATAGGGAACACGACTTGAGAAGATTATGCCCAGATCAATGCTTTGATACCATGTAGTCCAACAAGAAGAAAAGAATAAAAATAGAAGAAAGGAAGAGAGAAGGGAGAAAGGAAAGAAGAAAAATAGAAGAGGATGAGAAAACTAGTTCTATTCAAAAGTATGTACCTGGCAGCACCTAAGTTGGCATTTATACTTAAGGTGATCTTATAACAAATAAATAAGGGAATGCCAAAAATACCCTTATGCTAGTACATAACAAGTTACAACAACAAACATAGAAGCTCCTCATCGATATCATGTCTCATATCCTACCCCCTCCCAAAAAAAAAAAAGTAGGTCTTTGTGAAAAAAAAAATTGGTGAGTAATGACTATAACAAAATAAATATTACTGAATGTCGAAAAAACCAATGCAAAAAAATAAAAAAAATGCAATCAGTCCTTAGGTCAAGATAGTTATTATCGATGATAATGTTAAGCATAGATTTGGGGGGGGGGGGGGCTAATAGTCAATCTAATCTCTCATTGGATCTCCCCCACTTTTTTTTTTTTATGGGGGGAGGGGAATAATCAAAAAATAATGATGCCAATTAGGAGTGTAATCAAGCCAAGCCAAACTTTGTCATGTGGTTTGATTCAACTAAAATACTACTAGGTTTTAATTACAGTTTGAGTTTGATTCAAATTCTATTTTCTGATTTGAGCTTGGTTCAATTAAATATATTCAATGAGATTGAATTTGGTTTTAAAGTTCAAAAATGATATACTTTTCGATTTTATAAATATTTTAGTCGGGACCCAATTGATGTACAGCTTATTAGCAAAATTGAAGTAGAAAAAGCCTTTTGACATTTCTAATTGAACCAAGTCAGTCTAAGCCAAATCAAGTATTATATTTTTGAGTTATGTTTAGTTGTTCTTATCACAATCCAAATTGAAACCCTAGTGAGAGTGGCTTATCTCGTATAAGGATGTCAATGGGTAAATTCAACTTGACTCACCCCTACATGGTCAGGTTAGGGTTATGCTTATTAGGGTGTAGGGTTAGGTTAGATTTTTTATTATTTATCCCAAAAAGGGTGCAGGTTTGGCCAACCTAGCCCATCAAGTCATAATATGATTTCTTCCAGAGTTTGTTTCAACCCAAATTGGGTGTAGAGTTATGTTAGAGTTTTGATTATTTAACCCAAATTGGGTTCAGATTTGACTAATCCTTGCCCATCAAGTCATAATATTCCTACACATATAAAGGGCATTCTTGTAATTTGGTCTAACTTCTAGCCCCTAACCTTAAAGTATATGATTTATTTCACTATTTGTTTTGTTTTGTTTTTTTTTTCTTTCACTTTGGAGAAGCGATACCTTGAACCCCATAAACCAATTCCCAACTTAAATTAATAGCTCTTGAGTTTTCAAAAAGTATTACAAAAAATACAAATAAAAGACTATAATACAGGTTGGGACGGTTTCAAGTTGAACCCTATTGGTCGGAGCAGATTCAAAAATTACATACTATTATTGAGTTGGGTTGGGTTGGGTTTGAGTGAAAGCATGGGAGGGTCAGGGAAGGGTTAATTCAAACCCATGCCAATATGCTCAACCCTATAAGGTTCAACCTTATACCAACCCAACCTGTGCAGTCTTTCAAGTGTATTTTTGTGACACATTTTAAAAACTCAAGAACTATTGATTCGTTGGAAATTGCTTTATGGGTTATTGGGTTGACATCCTTATTATCCTATGGTCTATTTTTATTATGTATTCACTCTTTTGAGAGGTAGAAAGAGCCCTATGACATTGTTAATTAGGTGTGGACATGGGCTACGTTAGGCTATAGGCCTATTGTAAGGCTTTATTAATGTGACTATTATAAACAGAATTTGAATTAATAAAATTTAGTTTTAAAATTAATATATTTCTCATAGAAAAATTATTTTTATAAGATTACTATTATTTATTAATTTATTTATAAAACTAATTTTATTATAAATTAATTTTA